AATGGACATGAGTTTGCACAAACTCCAGGAGATGGTGAAGGACAGGGAAGCCTGGTGTGCTGCAGTCCATGGGGTCACAAAGAATCAGACACAACTGAGCAATTGAACAACAGCAATGCATGGCATGTAGAGTCTTAGTTCCTCGACCCAGGATCAAACCCATACTCCCTGCAGTGGAAGCCTGGAGTCTTAACCACTGGACCATCAGGGAAGTCCTGAGATGTATTTTTTTTTTTTTAAAGGGTGCTAGATGCGTGACTCTAAAGCAACAGTTCTTAACCTTGGATATGCATTAGAATCACCTAAATCTGGACAGAACTCATGGAAAAGAAATGCACTTTGATTTTCACCAGCTTTTATATTCAAGTGGCACTTCCTTCAGTCTTGGGAGTAGAGAGCCAACCACACTATCATTAGTGCTACCCTTGTTCCCAGAAGCAGTCAGGTGGATTTTGTGCTCTCTTGCCTCTGTTGCAGATGACTTGAAATAGCATTTACACACATTGCTGCTTAGAAATTAAGGTTATTGTCAGACTGGCTAGTAAATCTTACTGCTCACTGTGTTAGTAAAGAAGTCCATAAAACACTGTATCTCAAAATATTTTGATAATGGCATTTCAGTGCAATCATTTTCCTTTGTCATCTTGTGTGTTTTCCTTTATTCACCTAGTGCATAATTCTGAGAATCTATAGACTTTGCTAAGCTGTCATAAGAGTCCATGGCATGAAAAATGTTAAGTTCCCTCCCTGTTTTTATAGTGACCAGTGCCTGTACTGGGGCCTCTTAGTCGTTTAGATTTAGATGTGGCCTCCCCAGTGGAGGGGAGGTTACTGAAGGAAATCTGTCTGTTGCATTCCCTGGAGTGGGATTCACCCCCACTGTAGATGGGATTTGACCCCCATACCCCAGCAATGCCAGCCTCCATTCAGGTGATTTGAAGCCTAAAGACTCTATAGACCCATTCATTCACTGGACACTGAAGTTTGAAAAAATCTGGATCACCGGCTTTGCAAGTGCAGGGTTGAAAGTGCAGAGTTCAGGCCAAACTCAGGGTCGGAATGTGCAGTGGTCCCAGATCTGCCATTTGACACCAGGCGGCCCAGGGGGGAAGCCTGCAGACCCCCATGGCTTAGGACTCCTGGGAGGCGAGTCTTCCTCTGGGAAGGCCCTGGCTGGGGCTTGGTGGCCGGAGTCACCTCCTGATGTGTCTCCTGACCTCTGTCTCCTTCTGAGTCCTGTTTCACCAGCAACTCAGCTTGAGGACACAGGACATGTCCATTGGAGATTTTTAACATGTTGAGACTCCGGCTCCTGGAGTCTGTTCCTCCTTGGAGAAGACTTGACCTGCTGCCCTGCAGACTCAGCCCCGAGCTGCTGAGATGAACAAAGAACAAAGAAGAGAAGGAAGATGGGCTAGTTTCCAGCACCCCACTTCTCTCCAGCATGTGAGCCAGGATTGAGCCTCAGAATGCTCTCCTCTGAGAAACTAGATCTTTTTTTAAATCATGTATGTTATTTTATTACGGAGTCGAGTGACTCAAAGTACTATCATATTCTTCACTAAAATATAATTTTCCAAAAATGATTATCCAAGCATCAAGTATTTGCTAATGGATATTAGTGTCCTCTTAAAATATATAGAAACTTCTTGAGTTTGGTTAGCAAGCCATAAAGTGTACTAAAGACTACAGTTCTGTTAAGGTGAAGTCTTGAGAAACTAGATCTTATGTAGACACTCTCTCCAGGGCTAAGGGTGTGTCAGGACATGACACTTTTCACGACTTTCTTCCCGAGGCAAAGGAAAAACAATTTGAAGGGGCTGGGTTGGGCCAAGTCAGCGCATGGACTCATGTGAAGAGAGTGAAAAGAAACCAGTTGAGTAAATATGGAGAAACTCCATCCTTCCCTAGAGAGAGAGGGAGGATCTTAAGTAGAATCCAGTGTGGTGGTGTTCAGTTGCCTAGTCATGTTTGATCCATGGACTTCAGCATGCCGGGTCTCCCTGTCCCTCACCATCTTCTGGAGCTTGCTCAAACTCATGTCCATTGCATCAGTGATGCCGTCCAGCCATCTCATCCCCTGATGCCCTCTTCTCCTTCTGCCCTCAATCGTTCCCACCGTCAGGGACTTTTCCAGTGAGTCAGCTGTTCACATCAGGTGACCAAAATACTGGAGCTTCAGCTTTACCATCAGTCTTCCCAGTGAGTATTCAGGGTTGATTTCCTTTAAGATTCACTGGTTTAATCTCCTCACCAAAGAATTGATGTCTTTGAACTGTGGTGCTGGAGAAGACTCCTGAGAGTCCCTTGGACAGCAAGGAGAATCCAATGTAACTTAGCAGTAAAAACATTCTCAGAACCTACTTAGCTTAACTCTGGAAAGCCTGAGCAGACACTGGTATGCTGTCCCTGAAACCCACTCTACTGCTGGTTCATCTCCCACATTATTCTTTCCCGTGAATGAATGAAGAAGGAATCACACAGCCAGTTGTGTGAGCTGTACCAGGCTTAGCTGGGGGCAGGTGAATGTAGATTTCATTTAAGTTTCATCCTCGGAACTGCTTTGTTTGAAAGTGAGCTTCCCAGGTGGTGTTAGTGGTAAAAAAACAAAAAGAAAAATCACACCTCTCAGTGCCGGAGATGCAAGAGATGCAGGTTCAATCCCTGGGTCAGAAAGATCCCCTGGAGGAGGGAATGGCAACCCACCCCAATATTCTTGCCTGAAGAATCCCATGGACAGAGGAGCCTGGTGGGCCACAGTCCATGGGGTCGCGAAGAGTCTGACGCGACTAAAGTGACTTTCCTGCCGTGCATGCATGAGGTGATTTCCTTAGGGCCTGTATGAGGAATTGTGTGAGGTTGGGGACACAGATCTGTGGCTGCCACAGGCCCTGACTGGACACCCCACCCCACTGCAACCGCATGGGAGCATCTGGGGAAAATGCCAACACAGAGGGGACCTCTGATTCTGGTTGCAAGTATCACAAAAAGTGGCTGAGGCTCAGCAGGACTGGAGAGAAGGAGATGCAGAATCTGCATGAAAACGTGAGCCACACCAGCTGTTAGTATTTCAGCCCTGAACCAGGAGAGGGGGAAGAGGCAGGTGACGAGATTTCTCCGAGGTGGCTGAGAGGTCTGCAGAGGCAGCTCTGCAGACCAGTGCTGACAACCTTGTGGGACTTCCCTGCTGGTCCAGTGGTTAAGAACCCACCTTCCAATGCAGGTTCCATCCCTAGGCAAGGAACTGAGATCCCACTTGTCTCATAGCGACTAAGCTCGAGTACCCCAACTACTGAGCCCTCACGAAGCCTGCATGCTGCAATGAAGAGTCCATGCAAAGAGCCAGCACAGCAAAAAAAGATTATGGAAACAAGAAGCAAGACGTGCCTTTCCATAAACACTCTTGTCATGACTCCCTGCAGCCGGCTCCTGGGAGATCTCCCATGACACCCAGATCCCTCTGGCTGGGAGGGCCCATCCTCTCTCCCAAGAGGGTTGCTTTGTGATCTGTTACCCCAGCCTCAGCGGTGTCAAACAACCATGCCTGTGGAATGCTTGTGGATTAGGGGCTAGGAATTTGGACAGGTACAGTGAGATGGTTCATCTCTGTTCCATAGTCTGAGAGCTCTGACTTGAAGCCAGAGTGACTTAGTGGCTGAGGCTGGAATCTTCTAGAAACTCTTCACATGCATGCTTCTGGCTGTTGCCTGGGATATTCATGGTGCTGCGGCTTCTCCACGTATGTAGCCAGGGCTTCCCCCCAGCATAGAGCCTTGGTTCAGAGGGCGAGCATCTGAAGAGGGGACAAGTCAAGAAAAGGCGGTATTGCCTGTGACCTAAGCCTGAAAGTCACGGCTTCACCGCACCCGATTTGTTAGAAGTGAGCCTAGGTACTCTTCAAGGGTGGACAGGACGGTTGAGGGAACTGCGCTTTCTGTTGTTCCAACTACCTATTTCAAGAAACAGTCCAAAGATGCTGTAAGTGCTCTGATGAGATGAGGCTGGTGACTCAAGTGAAAGATCTAAGGGAGCTTTGGAAATTGAGTCATGATGACCCACCTTGGGTTGCCTAGAGACAACAAAGACCAGCCAGCCATAGGTCACCTTGGCTGATGCTGGACAGGGTCATCCCTCAGAGAGAAAAGCCAATTACAGACTCTAGAACCAACCCCCCACCCCCAGCTCGAGTCTTGAATCTTCCACTGTCAGGATCAGCAAGTCTTACAAATGCCTGCTGGTCTTTGGAACCTGAACGTCATCCTCTTTCCACCCAGCTTTCCCTGGGGTGGATGCTGGGGGCGGGGGGGCACCCAGGAGATGGGCCCTCACTACCCCCTGGGAAGGGTCAGGAGGGTCTCTGAGACGACACATTGTGCTGCTCCTTGAAGATGAATTGGCAGAGTGGGGAGGTGAGGGCATTCTAGAAGCAGGGATCAAAGTTGGGCCTTGAGGAGATAAGGAACCTGGACTGGAAAGCAGTTTGGGAACTGTGTGCCAACAGAGATTGGACCCAGGTCATGGTTGGCAGGGAAGGTGGAGAGACTGTGAGTTACAAAATAGAGTATAAGCAGGGAGATGTTCTCATGGGAACTCATAGCCTGGGTGAATAATCCAGAGTCCGGGACCCTTGAGCCCTGCAGATCCAGACACTGGACATCCTTGGCCCTCTTGCTAACTGAGCTCGGACCTCACTGATGTGTAGTTTTTAGTTTGCAGGGGTGAGGAGCATCTCTTTCCAGTGGCAGGAATGGTGAGGACCCATCTGGGTCCCATCTGTTGTCAGGGTCTTAGGGAGCCGGGTGGGTTGTCCGAGCATTGCTGGGTGAGTGGAAATTTCAGCCGAGGGGGCAGTCCACCTTTCCAGGTCTGCCTAGGGCAGGCAGGGCAGAGACCTCCCCATGACGGGACTCTGGGCCCCCCTGTCTCAGGTCACAGGGGGACACACCTGTTTTTTATCCACCTCTGCCCATGTCACACTTGGTTATTATGTCACCATCACAGATGCAGTCTGGCTGCTCCCCGGGCCTGGAGGGCTGCCCGTCTCCTCCGATTTGACATTGATTGAATTAGTCCAACCTCAGCCTTCTCCAGGTCCGTCTGCCGGAGCAGTTTTCAGAACGATTATGAGTAGGCTTCTGATGAGTCGGGCCGCAGGTTTCTTCTGCACTGTGTTCCGTGTGCCTTGGGCGAAGGTCAGGTCTGATCCAGTCTGTTTGTTTTTTTTTTTTCAGGCCATGCAAACTCAAAGCCTCAGAAATGTAGATAGGGAGAGGGTGAGGGGCTCACTCGACTGCTTCTAACCGTGGCAGGTGACAGCACTCCATTGGTTAAACACAACTCAGACAGGTGAATTAGAAGCTTTTTTGGAATTAGATGTGGTTGTAAGTTCTCCAGAGGAAACGTAGCTCAGGCTGAAAGAATGTGTTGGGTGGTTCCCGGAGTGTGAGCCTGGCCGACTCTGTGGCCTGTCCCGGCTGCCGTCTGGAACACCTGCTCTCCATCTCTGAAGACCTGTGGGTGTGAAGATCTCCCCTGAGAGCCCGGGGTGGGGGCGGTGGGGTGGCAGGAGCGGAGATCTCGGGGCCCAGGTCCCTAGTGATGCAGCCACCGAGGGCCTCAGCGTGCGGCTCTTGGCATCTGGCCTGCTCAGCCCAGCGGGGCCACGTTTTCCTCTTTCCGGGCTGTGTGGTTGGGGAAGAGAGGTTGGTGGAGCAACCCCAGGAGCCCCAAGGCCTTTGCAGACACCAGGGCTTAGGATAATGACAGCTGGCATTGGCTCCTGGCTCTGGCCCGTGCTTTTCTGCAGGGCGGTCTCTGTGCTGTGGGCCAGGCCAGAGCCCTGGGTGAGGTCTTCGGCCCCTGCCTGCCCTGAGCTGGCTGAAAGTCTCCAAGGCAGCATCCAGGAGAGGCTGGGGGCCCTGCTGCGCTGGAGACAAATGGCACAGGAGTCTTATAGGCTCCTGCAGTTGGTCCTGGTCACAGAAGGACGCGGGGGAGCGGGGAGACCCTGTAGAATGAAGGAGAGACGGCCTGCTGCACGCTCTCAGCATCACTTCTCACGCTATAGGCGCCTGTACCAGGGGCCCAGACTTGGGGACCCTGCCTTCCCTTGGAGGTAGAGCTGGCGGCTCCCCGCCTCCCCCAGAGGCCTCGTGTCCCACACGTCTCCCTCCTGCTTCTCTTCTGGGCCCCTGGGTTCTGCTTTTATCTCCCTAGAGCACTGGGTTGGGGTCGGTGGGACTCCTGGGCTTGAGTGGCCCTCCCTACCACTTCTTACCCATGACCTCTGCAAGTGAGTTCACTGCCTTGGTTTCCTCGTCTGTAAAATTGAGCTTCTCTTGCTCACTTTGAAAGACAGTGCCTAGCACCCAGGGTGAAATTGCATCATGTATTTCCCAGCCCCTTGCATGCCCGCTTGTATTCCTGGTCCCCTTGTAGGTCTGTACACCTGTCCTCCTCGCCTGTATCTCCTCCATAGCCAAGGGCTCCAGGGTGAAGCAGAAGGTTGTCTCATGGTGATGGGTTGAGAGCCCTGGTTTCACCTAACATCCTGGATCTTTTCAGTAGGAAGGTATCACTGTAGAATGAGATCCCCTGGCCTGAACTTAAGCTCAAAGCTTACGTAAGCCTTCCCATGGTCACCTTTTGAGCTCCTGCAGTGAGTTAAACTGTGCAAACAGAGCTGAGCCTAGAGGATTGAGTCTTGAGGACCAGACGCCATTCCAAGTGTGTGCCCATCTTCTCTCTTTCCATCTGTCCAACAACCTCTTGAGGTTCTCCATTTTCCAGATAAGGAAACCAAGGCTCAGTAATTTGCCCAAGATCACCCAGCTTGTAAGTGAATCTGTATTCAAATCCAGACTTGAGCCCCAAAGCCTGCGTCTCCCCACTCATGCCGCCCCAGGTACACAGGTGCCACGTGGCCTTGAGGGGGTGGAGGACACGGAGTAACCAGCAGTGTGGTGAGTGCAGCGACAGGAGAGACAGGTCTGGGGGTGTGCTCCTGGAGTGCCCAGGGCTTTCTCAATGTTGGCACTGCAGGGCCTAAGTCCTGAGAAGCCCCCCATCCTGGACACAACAGGACAGTTTGTGCCCATGGTCTGCTTTTCTCTGTGGGCCTGTCTCTCTGCTCAGGAGGGCTGGGGATCAGAGAACAGTCCTACAGCTGGGAGGGACGTTCGTTTATCTCAGACTGTACTGTGTTCGCATCCCAGGAGCATTCAGGGCTTGGCATCAGCACCCCACACTTCGGGCCAGGAGAAGAGCATTCATCCAAACCAGCCAGGACTTTCTGGCTGATGGGGGCTCAGCCAGAAGGCCTTTGTTCTGGTCGCTGGGGTCAAAATCCTTCAGAACAGGCATCTGTTCTGACCCCATCTCCTCTGTCACCTTGCCCAGGGAAATTGGAAGCTCAGCAACAGAGGCTGGACGTATTTGGAAGGTCTGGAAGAGAGGAGATTTGGCCACAGGCTTGTTGGGGCCGTGGGTGTCAGATTCCTAGGGCTGCCAGAATAAAGGACCACAAGCTGGGTGACCAGGTGACTCAACACGAAGTGTGTGGTCTCCCAGCTCAGGAGGCTGGAGGCCTGAAGTCAAGGTGTTGGCCGAGGTGGGTCCTCTGAGGGCTGGGAGGGAGCAGTTTGTCAATGACCATCTTCTCTCCATTTTTCACAAGGTCTTCCTTCCTTCCAGCGTCTGTCTCTGTGCCCGAATTTCCCCCTTTCATTAAGATGCTGCGTATGTTGGACTAGGGCCCAGCCTCATCACCTCGTCTTAAGTAATTATATCTGCACTGACCCTGTTTCTAAATATGGTCACATTCTGAGACATGTCTGCTGAAAAAAAGCACAACCTGCAGGGTGAGAGTTTTGTGTTATTCTGTGAGCATTCTGAGGACGTCAAGCCTGGGAGATGGGACCCTGAGATGACTCCGAGGGACTATTCTGAAGAGGCAAGGGTGGGGCGGGGGGAGCCAGGGTGCATAGTTTTTGTAACAAAGACGAGGTAGTCAGAACATCAAAAGGTGACTATTAATTAAAGAAAACCAGACATCTCACGTTAAGGAATTTAGTGCTTTTCTGTGTATGAGAAGAGGAAAGAGTCTGGGTTCACTGAAGTCACTCCTTTGATGGGCACCTCAGCTACCTGCAGCTAATGACCTGCTTTTCTCCATCCTGAGTTCCCTCTGGGAGCACAGCTGGGTGTGAGGCTGAGGGCTTGGCCCTGGGCAGCCCCTTTGGTTTGTCTGCATCCTGAGTTCCCTCAGGGCTCACAGTTCGGGGCCGCCGTCATGTGATGGCTTGATGGCTGAAGCATCCTTTGTTTATGACAGGACAGGCAGTATCCCAAGTCCAGATACTCGGGATCATCAGGACTTCAGCGTGTGAACTGGGGGGGAGCATAATTCAATCCATACCTGTGCATTTAGAGGCAACAGGGTGTGATGGAAGGAGCATGTCTCAGCTTGGGGGTCTCATGGACTTGAGTTTAAATCTTAGCATTGTCAGTTACATCAAAGACCCTGGGCTCTGAGCCTCAGTTTCCTTACCTGCCAAGTGGAGCCTGGCCTTCGGTTTATCTATGTATTTTCAACTGAAGGACAACTCCACTTCTCCAGGCATGTGCTGGGGGACATGAAGTGACCTCACGGGGCTGTGGGGACAGAGATAGTCATGGAAGCCCCAGCAGGTGCTGACATGCAGCAGGTGCTCTCTGAACATTCCCTGCTGCAGTGGGAGACGCTACGAGGGCCAGAGAGTTTGAGCTGGTGGAGGGCCATCGGGCCCTCATTTCATGTGCCCTGGGCTTGTTCCTCTGAAGACGGGCTGCTTCTCAGAGCCCTGGGCTTGAGAGGAGGCTGTGGACAGCCCCTGCAGGGTCCCCAGTGGCCTCCTCCTTCAGGCCTCATGATGCAGGAGAGTCTGGATTCCTGGGGACTGCAGGCAGCAGGCCCTGGCCAGCACGAGAAGTGAAGTGCGGCGGCAGGAGGGTCAGAGATGCTGTGCCCCCTTCGTTTGCCCACACAGAAGCCGAGGAAAGCCTCGCAGGGTTTCTGTGCTATTTTCCTCCTTTGCCTCCCCTGGGGAAACTCCGAAATGGAAACTCAAAGATGTAGAATGGCTCCTCCGCCATTTCCCACTATTTCATGATAGTGTTGAAGCCCCAGGGCTGTTTCCTGGCCCAGCATCCTGCCAGATCTCCAGCATGTTCCCGGCCTCCCCGCCGGCATCTGAGCTGAGTGCTGTGTAGGCCGCTGGCCAGAGCCTTCTAAATATAGCTCCGTCCTCAGAGCAACAAAGCCCCGATCCCCCGAGTGGCATCCGCCCTGACGGCAGGCCTCCAGGCTGTTGGTCAGTCTCCCCTACCAGGATGGGAGGGAGGAACGGGGACAGACAGGGAGTGGCCAGGACAGAGGAGCCTCTGAAGAAGCTGGTTCTGTGACACGTGAGGCCCAGACACCTGTGGCCTTGGCCCTGAGTTCCTGCCTCCTGTCTCAATGTGTGGGGCCCAGGCCTTGTCCCAGGCAGGCTCTGCTAAGCTGGGATTGAGGGACAGGAGGCTGGTCGGTGCTGAAGGGAGGGAAGAAGGGTGATCCTCTCAGGAGGAGATGGTAAGATCCTGTCTTTAGAGTCAGACCCGCTGGCCTGGACTCACAACGCCACGTCTAGGCTGGGTGACCCTGGGCAGATTCTTCACCTTAAATCTCAGTTTCCACATCTGGGAAGCATGGATCCTAAGGCCCACGCTGGGGGGATTCAGCAGTGGTGCGGGGTGGCTGCAGCAGCGGCCCCACGGTGACTGGGCCTGGTGCTCGGACGCTGTGGGCGGCTGGTGTGGGCTCAGCTTGTCCTCTTGTCCCAGCACCTCATCCCACCTGCTCTGCGGTACTTATATGACCCTTCATTCTGCAACTTTAATTTCACCTTGTGGGTGTAGCATGGAGCCTCTCTTGCAGACCCAGTGACCTGAGAGGTACCCTGAACCCAGAACATCCACCACCTGTTAGGTCACAGCCGAGCCTCTCTCCCCACTCATGGGCCTCTCACTTCAGAACTTACCTCTTCAGCCACACTATGTCCAGCTGGGGACGGAGACTCCTTTAAAACCTCTGCTCAAATATGAACATATCCATTGAGCACTGGTAAAAGAAGCTAGAATTATTAAAAATAATAAAATCCTGGATTTCTCAACATCAGGCCTGGCTCTGGGAGGACCAACCCATGTCTTCCCCTCCCATCCACGGAATTCTGCTTAAGGCAGGGGGACCTGACCTGTTCCCAGGTCTCTAACACCAAGGAAGGTGGGACCCTGCCCCCTACCACTGAGGGGTCCTCAGGAGAGACCCCAACTTACAGCCTTACCATATGGAGAGCCTGGTCTTCATACAAAAAGAGGCCACCCTGCCTGAGACGCTTCACTGCTACAAGTGGTCCAGGGAGCTGCCTAATCTTAGCGACACTCTGTGGATAGAGACTGGTCAGGATTAGGTGTGGAATGCCCAAGTGCTGGCAGGGGTCAAGATAGGGAGTTGTTGGCAGAGGCATCAGCCCCTGTTGCTTAGACCTGCCTTTCTGCTGACAGCAAGTCCCTGGCAAGGAGTCTCCTTGGGGAAATCAGGCACTGAGGGGATTAGGATCCCCAGTCCTCTGTTGCTATGGCTACGATGCGGTTAGGATGCCTTGTCTTTTGTTGCTATGGCTACATGCACGGAGCATGAACTCAGCACCACAGAGCCGTGAGATAGGTCATAGCTATGAAGTGGTAAAACCAGAATTCTCTTTCCGCTCTTGTGGCCTTTAGGGGTTCTTCACAGTTTGAAGTTCCAAGGTTTCCAGTATGATCACAATTCTCAAAGAGCATTTCTAGAGGCTGCTGGAAATACACACCCACAACAAGCAAGCTGGCAGACCATTAACAGAGCATGGAGCTTTCCTGGGCGACAGTCATGCTGATCTAACCTGCCAGAGCCCCTGGAGGTAGCAGAAACATGTCAGCAAAGGAAACCGTCTCTTTAGTGCATTTGGATTTTTCAGAAGTGTTTGTCAAAGTTCCATGCTGAAAAATTTTCCATACGTAGAAAAAAAAATTACTTGCTTCACTGTGACTTTGCAGGGATTGCCTTGTTCTGCATAGGAGTCAGTTCAGGGAAAGAAAGATGTTCCTGAGGATGAACCTGTTCTTTTCTTCATGGAGAGCTGTGAACAGGAAAGGGTCTTAGCTCATTTTTTGGGTTGTTTTTTTTGCCATGCTGCAAGGTATTGAAAGCACCAAGTCCTAACCACTCTACCACCAGGAAATTCCCAGCTCATTATCTTTTTAATTAAAGATCTGGAAGAGAAAGTATATAGTGAAAATTCCATATAGGATTCTTGGAGAATGAGAAATCAAATTAATGGAATATGCATATTTTCTTGCTTTGGTTCCCAAATCATTGCTAACAGTCATCTTTTTGTAGGCCGGTTTGCTCCAGGAATGTACGAGTGTTTCCATCCACTCAACATACATCCATCGGGTGCCCCCACGTGCCAGGCGCTGTGCTGGGTCCAGACACGTGTCCTACATGTTGTTATTCTGCATTACAGAAGTGGGATTGCATGCTTCTTCCACTTGCTTGTTTTGTTTACTGATGGATGGTAAACATCACAGTGCAAAAAACTACCTCACCCTTTTTAATATCTTCCTGGTGCCATTTTCCCACAAAATGCTTGTACAGTAATTTAATCAGTCCCCTCTTATTGGGCATTTCCATTATTCTGGATTGCACATATACCAATATAGCCTGAAACATCCCTGAACTCTGATATTGCACATGTGGAGTGTTTCTGAGGATAGCTACCCAAGTGGGCATACTCAGTCAAAGGATCTATATGCTTTCACATTTTTGATAGATGCTGATGAATTTGCCTGCAAAGCATATCTACTTCAATTTTAATAACCCCCAAATTACCATCTGGCAATGCTCAGTTTCTCAAATCCCTATTGGATATTACCTACATTGGATATTATATTAGTTTCCTATTGCTTCTATCACAACTTATTGTATATTTCTTGTTCAATCGTATTTGTTGTTGTTCAGTTGCTCAGTCATGTCTGACTCTTTGCAACCCTATGGACTACAGCACGCCAGGCTTGCCTGTCCGTCACCCTCTCCTGGAGTTTGCTCAGACTCATGTCCATTAAGTCGGTGGTGCCATCCAATCATCTTATCCTCTGTCATCCCCTTCTCCTCCTGCCTTCAGTTTTTCCCAGCATCAGAGTCTTTTCCAATGAGTCGGCTCTCACATTAGGTGACCAAAGTATTGGAGCTTCAGCATCAGTCCTTCCAAAGAATATTCATGATTTCCTTTAGGACTGACTGGCTTGAGCTCCTTGCTATCATATCCACTATCATAAACTATCATATGTGTAGTGGTTTAAAAACAGCAGGAATTTATTATCTTATAGTTCTGTAAGTCAGAAGTCCAATGCTGGACTGAAATCAAAGTGTTGGCTGAGCTGTGGTCCTTCTGGAAGGTCTAGAGAGATACTGATCTGCAGTCCATGGTGCATCCATATTCAAGCCAGTGAGGTCTGGATGACTCGGTGGGTGGGGCCTTGGCATATGGCTTTGCTCTGATATTGACTCTGCTGCTCCTTACAATGCAGTAAGCCCCTTACCATTACACTGGATGCCCCTGCATAACCTGGGCTTCTTTCCTTACGTCCGGTCAGCTGATTAGCACCCTTCCACCCATGACTTTATCCCCTTGCCATGTAACATGACATGCCCACAGCTCCCAGGGAGGAGGATGTGGACATTGTGCAGGGTGGGGGTGGGGGGAATCAGTATTCTGCCTTCTGCAAATAGGATCAGCCTTTTGTTTCTGTTCTAAGTGAAAACATGGTACTCTGCTCTTTTAAGTCATGTCTTCTTGGTTATTGGTGAGGTCAAATATCTTTTCTG